GCGTCAAAAATAAAATTGAAATCGGCCTCTTCAAAGCGTCGGCTTTGTAGCGCCTACAACAAATGCTTCGCAACAAGAGCAATCACAAGCAGCTTCCCACGACTAGCACTAGTGAAAACCCGATTTGTACTAAGTATTCGAGTGGCGAAAATTAAGGATAAACCGCGCAGAATCAAGGAAAAACGAAGAAGACTCAAAAAATTCATAGCAGTTTCACTGCAGCTTCAGCCGCCCCCTAACACAACGACGTGGATGTCAAGTAGATCCACTGAAGCCGGCATAATTGTTTTCGAAAAATTGTCTTTTTAAGTTCATTCGTTATTACCCCCCCCCCCCCCCCCCCGCCGTATAAGCGCAAGTTGGATTTACTTATTTCATGCAATTGGCTTGTTTCACTATTGCAAGTGATTGAGCCAGGATTGATCGTTGCTCACCTAACGGATTTCACGTGAAAGATTATGCTTATAGTGCTTCAACGACCTAGAAAGACGCACAGCCACAGGGAGTCCTTGTGACAGAGGGTGTAAAATTGACGTTTTCATTGTGCAGTATTGAAACAAGGATTACCTGCGTCCTTTCGGCTCTGAATTGTAGACCGTATGCTAGACATACTGTTGTGTTCATCAAGGACTGAGTTCTGTTCTAAGTAATAGCAAGGATTAAGACCATCGAAGGATTGATTGGGATCCAATTAGTGACGACCCAGTGGTTAGAAACATTTTGGATACAGTGAGTTTGTCTATCGTCGTTTCATTAACTGTGACAAAAAGAAAAGCTTTCTCCATCTAATTAGACACATTTCACCGCATTGCCCCAAACTGTTGTGAACCAACGGCCAAAGTGGTTCCACGGGCAACTTCACTTCTAAGGTATGTTTCATGCTGCTTTAACGTATTACCTTTGATAATTTGATTTCTATTCCGTCTTCGTTAGTCCCGTTCTGTTCTCCTCTGTTACCCTACCCCTTTTACAAAACTCCTCTGATACAGGAAACGTAACATATGCATAGACCGTCTATCGTATTGTTGTGATCAATAACAAAACAGACAAACAAAGAAGGCGAAAAACGAAAAACAAGAAAAAGTACATAAAAAAAAAAGTACTAACGCGGCCAGATCACTAGCTGAAGCCGCCGCGCAGGGACCGCACGCGCGCGCGCGCGCGCGCGCGCCTTTAGGACAGCGACGTGATCAGCGGGTGACATAATGACCTACCCAAGGCGCTGCATAGCTGAGAAATGATTTGCACTAATGCCACCGTGTCCGTTACCGATATTGACAGTCCAGATCTAGCCCGAGTAAGAATCGCCTGATTGGTATCAGTCGAAGGAGCCCATCGGTCGGTAGGCGGCAGGTAAACAGGCATAAAGCCATGGTAATCAAATATCTATAATACCTCGCGTATAGATATAAGGGATAGTAAGAAGATAAAACGCGCCAAAGTATTTGCTGCAGCAAAGAACGAAAATCCCAGGCCCATTTTCTTGTCGTCGATGCGGCGAAACGCTCCTACCCATTCACGTGCGCGCACTGAACCGGCCCATTTAGAGCTAATGCTTTAGAGTTATCGTTGACAATTAGCGGTGGTTAGCTTGTACCTATCCACAAATTTCTCCGATAACTTGATCGTCTTTCATGCCATTACTATACACTGACACAATATTTGACTCCGTATCGCTATCTATTTGTATATAGTATAGTAGCAACCGCGAGACATCGCTAACTCATCTATATGCGGTCAAACCAAACAAGAGTTGCGTGCGCTGTACTGCCAGCGGAACGTTCTGCTTAACTACTTACTGGTATTAGTAAGCAGCTTGAGGCTCAAAGCTTAACTTATCACTTGTGAACTATGGAAGCGTGCGCATTAATCGTAAGGTTACCGAAACGAATGATAGGTACTTTTGGGGGTCATTGATTGCTCAGTCGGCTTTTGACAGTTTCTGTCCTAGAATTGTCGACAGTCCTAGCTTCTTCAAATAGATGCCATCATCTACCTTGCTACTTGTTTTTTTCATAATAAGGATATCATGCATATGGGCTCAGCTTCATTTTAAACATGGCATTTTTAACGGCGTTTCTAGCACTTGTAAGGAACTGATTTTTATACCATGCCTTTTCAAGTTACGTCGATAAAGAAAATTGCAAGAGCAATCGTCATTCTAACTCAGTGTAGTACGTCACTGTTATTATCGTACACGAACGTCACGGTCGAAGATCGTTTCAAACCAAGTAAACGATCTTTTCTGCAGCCCATCTGTAGCCATGCTTACACTCGAGCTTGAAAAATTGTGCGTTATTGAAATAGGTACTGTTACCAGAGATTAGTAAACACGTCCTTTATATTATATTACCATTTCACTTCACTCTTCATAAAAGGCATAATATAACAATGCCTCCGGTAACTGAAGTCTGCATTAATAACACCTAGGCGTAAACTGTTTTAAAAACTACATTCAATATATCGACAGGCTCTGTGGCGACTAATCCGAAAACGTTGAATGGTCCGATGCATCCCCTTCGACACCGTAAACTCATAATAGCCATAATAATAAAAAAAACAAGTAGAAAAATGATAACATAACTTGTAATATTAACAATACGGATAACAGTAGTAAACGTGCAACTGGATTCGTCTATCTGACGTTTAAGCGGAACGGAGTTGGCATTAAATTGATGGGATTAGAACTAAGCAGTCAGTCGTGGAAGCCGGCTTCTGGCTAGCCATTTTTTTTTGCAAATTGGAACGGGTATTGAAGATCATTTCTTTTTTTATTAATACACAAATGATTCCGTTCAAGGAGTTAGTTGTTTCTAGAGAGTGAGACGCGGGTTGTGTTTCGCTTTGATTTGTCTCCACCCCTTTAAGACTACCCCATAACGGGAACGCGTAACTTTTCAATGCTGAAAAGCGCAAAATAAAATGGCATAAATTATTGCGAAAATTTGCTACATAGAATGGAAAAAAGCCGTTATTAAAATTGCATTTTTATAATTTAACGGAACGTAGCTTATTCACTAACAACATCGGACTCATGATTTTAAAGGTCGACAAGGGCGGCAAAGGACCATGGGAAGTGATTCCCTCCTTGGCACAGCCGATTTTCGTTACGTTCTAATGTGTCGATGTGAACGAAGACATCAATCGTTTTCATGATGCTATCCTTATCTATCTTTCGCGCAGCGTTCTCTATACAAGTTAAATACTTTTCATTAATGAGAATTGACTTCGTGCTAGAGCGTTGCGGCCAGTAAATTCAAATTTCAAACTCAAGTCACTTGAACGGTTTGTAGGCCGATCAGATTGTCCCATTGCCCGTGTGGTCCCGTGTAACGTGCCGACTGCAGCAATCGACCTAGGTCACGCGACCTCAACCGAGTGGAAATATATAGATATACATATACATATATATATATATATATATATATACATATATATATATATATATATATATATATATATATACATATATATATATATATATATATACATATATATATATATATATATATATACATACATATATATATATATATATATATATATATATTACTATTATTGTTGTTGTCGTCGTCCATGAATGCTTACGTGGATTTCCCACGTATTGACCCATATCGGGTGTACGAGTAACATTTAACAGTTAAGCTAAACTAACAAATTTAAACTTTCAAGACTATCACGCATATATACGTACGGTTTCAAATCGCAATCATACAAATCATCCGAACATCAAATCAAAGGCAGGCAACAGGAAACACCAGGGCGCCCACAGTCGCGCCCACCGCCCATCTAGCCGCAATGCACCCTCCGCGGCTACTCGCTAAACTCTCGTCACATATCTTCGTCCTTGTCTAACCTTCGGCGAACTGTTCAACAATCAAGCAAATTCACAAACAGCGATTTCTTTTTTCATCCTACGATTTCGTCATCAACGACGTACAACCACACAGACATCAAGGATTGTCCGTTCCGAATCGTACTTTATCTCTGTCGTCTTTGTTATTTTTGTATGTCTGCTTGTCCTATACCGTTCGATCTGTTCCATTGATTAAGCACTACAATTTATCCGGTTCCTACTAATTATTGCCGCTACTGACGTAGTGTCACAACGAAACCGCCAGGATTTTGTCGCTATCTGTTGCCGTTTTGTCTCGTTGTGTCCTGTCTGTTGTCCTTTGTTTAATATCACCACCCCCACCACCACCACCGCAGTGTCGTTGTAGTCCATTGTTTTTGGCGCTATTGTGGGTGTTTCCGAAGTCCTGGCGGCCCGTAATATCAGCGTTGTCATACTCGTTGATATCGTTGTTTTATTGTCCGTTGTGTCGTGCTGCTTGTAGTAAGCAACGAAATAAACCGAATAACAACAACAACAACAACAATAAAGCCTGTTCACGTAATCGCCAGTTATCGTACGCAGTTGTCCCCAGTCCAGGTGTAACCACAACTACACACTCTTACAATCTCAAGTTCAGCAACATCTTTAACAGCAAAAATAACAACAACAACAACAACAACAACAACAATAACAACAAGTGTAATTCATCAACAAGATTCAAAGCAAACTGCCTCCAACGCCGTTGCCGCAACAACAATTGCGAGCGGAAATCTACTTTCTACCTTTACGTTCACTGCGCAGATAATCGATTTGCGTCAAAAATAAAATTGAAATCGGCCTCTTCAAAGCGTCGGCTTTGTAGCGCCTACAACAAATGCTTCGCAACAAGAGCAATCACAAGCAGCTTCCCACGACTAGCACTAGTGAAAACCCGATTTGTACTAAGTATTCGAGTGGCGAAAATTAAGGATAAACCGCGCAGAATCAAGGAAAAACGAAGAAGACTCAAAAAATTCATAGCAGTTTCACTGCAGCTTCAGCCGCCCCCTAACACAACGACGTGGATGTCAAGTAGATCCACTGAAGCCGGCATAATTGTTTTCGAAAAATTGTCTTTTTAAGTTCATTCGTTATTACCCCCCCCCCCCCCCCCCCGCCGTATAAGCGCAAGTTGGATTTACTTATTTCATGCAATTGGCTTGTTTCACTATTGCAAGTGATTGAGCCAGGATTGATCGTTGCTCACCTAACGGATTTCACGTGAAAGATTATGCTTATAGTGCTTCAACGACCTAGAAAGACGCACAGCCACAGGGAGTCCTTGTGACAGAGGGTGTAAAATTGACGTTTTCATTGTGCAGTATTGAAACAAGGATTACCTGCGTCCTTTCGGCTCTGAATTGTAGACCGTATGCTAGACATACTGTTGTGTTCATCAAGGACTGAGTTCTGTTCTAAGTAATAGCAAGGATTAAGACCATCGAAGGATTGATTGGGATCCAATTAGTGACGACCCAGTGGTTAGAAACATTTTGGATACAGTGAGTTTGTCTATCGTCGTTTCATTAACTGTGACAAAAAGAAAAGCTTTCTCCATCTAATTAGACACATTTCACCGCATTGCCCCAAACTGTTGTGAACCAACGGCCAAAGTGGTTCCACGGGCAACTTCACTTCTAAGGTATGTTTCATGCTGCTTTAACGTATTACCTTTGATAATTTGATTTCTATTCCGTCTTCGTTAGTCCCGTTCTGTTCTCCTCTGTTACCCTACCCCTTTTACAAAACTCCTCTGATACAGGAAACGTAACATATGCATAGACCGTCTATCGTATTGTTGTGATCAATAACAAAACAGACAAACAAAGAAGGCGAAAAACGAAAAACAAGAAAAAGTACATAAAAAAAAAAGTACTAACGCGGCCAGATCACTAGCTGAAGCCGCCGCGCAGGGACCGCACGCGCGCGCGCGCGCGCGCGCGCCTTTAGGACAGCGACGTGATCAGCGGGTGACATAATGACCTACCCAAGGCGCTGCATAGCTGAGAAATGATTTGCACTAATGCCACCGTGTCCGTTACCGATATTGACAGTCCAGATCTAGCCCGAGTAAGAATCGCCTGATTGGTATCAGTCGAAGGAGCCCATCGGTCGGTAGGCGGCAGGTAAACAGGCATAAAGCCATGGTAATCAAATATCTATAATACCTCGCGTATAGATATAAGGGATAGTAAGAAGATAAAACGCGCCAAAGTATTTGCTGCAGCAAAGAACGAAAATCCCAGGCCCATTTTCTTGTCGTCGATGCGGCGAAACGCTCCTACCCATTCACGTGCGCGCACTGAACCGGCCCATTTAGAGCTAATGCTTTAGAGTTATCGTTGACAATTAGCGGTGGTTAGCTTGTACCTATCCACAAATTTCTCCGATAACTTGATCGTCTTTCATGCCATTACTATACACTGACACAATATTTGACTCCGTATCGCTATCTATTTGTATATAGTATAGTAGCAACCGCGAGACATCGCTAACTCATCTATATGCGGTCAAACCAAACAAGAGTTGCGTGCGCTGTACTGCCAGCGGAACGTTCTGCTTAACTACTTACTGGTATTAGTAAGCAGCTTGAGGCTCAAAGCTTAACTTATCACTTGTGAACTATGGAAGCGTGCGCATTAATCGTAAGGTTACCGAAACGAATGATAGGTACTTTTGGGGGTCATTGATTGCTCAGTCGGCTTTTGACAGTTTCTGTCCTAGAATTGTCGACAGTCCTAGCTTCTTCAAATAGATGCCATCATCTACCTTGCTACTTGTTTTTTTCATAATAAGGATATCATGCATATGGGCTCAGCTTCATTTTAAACATGGCATTTTTAACGGCGTTTCTAGCACTTGTAAGGAACTGATTTTTATACCATGCCTTTTCAAGTTACGTCGATAAAGAAAATTGCAAGAGCAATCGTCATTCTAACTCAGTGTAGTACGTCACTGTTATTATCGTACACGAACGTCACGGTCGAAGATCGTTTCAAACCAAGTAAACGATCTTTTCTGCAGCCCATCTGTAGCCATGCTTACACTCGAGCTTGAAAAATTGTGCGTTATTGAAATAGGTACTGTTACCAGAGATTAGTAAACACGTCCTTTATATTATATTACCATTTCACTTCACTCTTCATAAAAGGCATAATATAACAATGCCTCCGGTAACTGAAGTCTGCATTAATAACACCTAGGCGTAAACTGTTTTAAAAACTACATTCAATATATCGACAGGCTCTGTGGCGACTAATCCGAAAACGTTGAATGGTCCGATGCATCCCCTTCGACACCGTAAACTCATAATAGCCATAATAATAAAAAAAACAAGTAGAAAAATGATAACATAACTTGTAATATTAACAATACGGATAACAGTAGTAAACGTGCAACTGGATTCGTCTATCTGACGTTTAAGCGGAACGGAGTTGGCATTAAATTGATGGGATTAGAACTAAGCAGTCAGTCGTGGAAGCCGGCTTCTGGCTAGCCATTTTTTTTTGCAAATTGGAACGGGTATTGAAGATCATTTCTTTTTTTATTAATACACAAATGATTCCGTTCAAGGAGTTAGTTGTTTCTAGAGAGTGAGACGCGGGTTGTGTTTCGCTTTGATTTGTCTCCACCCCTTTAAGACTACCCCATAACGGGAACGCGTAACTTTTCAATGCTGAAAAGCGCAAAATAAAATGGCATAAATTATTGCGAAAATTTGCTACATAGAATGGAAAAAAGCCGTTATTAAAATTGCATTTTTATAATTTAACGGAACGTAGCTTATTCACTAACAACATCGGACTCATGATTTTAAAGGTCGACAAGGGCGGCAAAGGACCATGGGAAGTGATTCCCTCCTTGGCACAGCCGATTTTCGTTACGTTCTAATGTGTCGATGTGAACGAAGACATCAATCGTTTTCATGATGCTATCCTTATCTATCTTTCGCGCAGCGTTCTCTATACAAGTTAAATACTTTTCATTAATGAGAATTGACTTCGTGCTAGAGCGTTGCGGCCAGTAAATTCAAATTTCAAACTCAAGTCACTTGAACGGTTTGTAGGCCGAGCAGCAGTGAGAACAAAGAAGAAATATATAGAAACATCAGTAATTAGTAGTATACATTCGATGCAAGTTTTGCTAAATAAAAGCCAGTATAGTAAATCTGTAGGCAATATGGAAAAGTCCAAAAGAACAACTTTTCACTTAGTAGCAAGGACGTACAGTGACAATTCTTATTTATTCTTTGTTAGTTTTAAATGAGATTAATTAACAATTTGCCGATTTGATCTTTATATAAAGATCTGCTGTCTAGCTTAAAACAGCCTCGAAAATCATCGTTTTCAGGTGCTCTCAATCTTCAGTTGATGACCTGAAGCAGGTTGTGACGACAAACTCACATATTTTCAAAAGCCCCATTCCGCCGTTTCTACAGGACTATTCACTCTAAACGAGATACCTATTTCTGCTTGGTGTTCTGTCTCTCATTTTATGCGGGTGCACTAAAAACAACTTAGCTTTTTAAATTTAATTTGATCTTATGATATTTGTCACTTTCTTATTATGAATAGTAGATGACCTGATCTTTTCCTTGTTCCAGTAATCTTTCGTAGCATCACAGTATAACGAGGAAGACTAATTTCCCACTATGTTAACCATTACCGTCAAAAAACTAGCTTGTTTTCTTCTTTAATATTATAGTAAATGAAACAGTTAACCCCACAATCCGCCAATCTTTCGTGAGCCCACGGCCTATGGAAGAAGTCTATGGGAACAGCAGCAAACGTTCTATATTGAATTCAATTTCTCATAGACATGTTGCACTCGATCAAAGAAGAACATGCGATGAACGTGATTTAACTATCTAAGGTCACTTATTTCACCATCTTTTTTTTCTAGCGAGTGAAGCTCAGAGAAGGCCCTTCTTGTCTAATTCGAACCCAACGAATTAACTTTGCAGAAACAACCGCGCCATAGTTGATTTCAGATAACATCGAGTTCTTTCCACCGGTTGTGCCACGTTCCTATTTTGAGTGCTTTCTACTTCCCTATGAAGGCGCTGGGTATACCTGAACACAATAAACTCCTTTTGAAACCAGCTGCTAGATGTCAAGATAGACCAACAGTATTGAAATCATCTTGCATCTAGAGTCTACTGTATAATAAATAAATGTATCAAAATGTTATCTCTACATATTTGTACCACTTAAATGTTGTCACGCGATGGCGGCTACGTTGGGCGGCTACTGATTATCGGCTTCGCTTTACATGAAAGATTTGGAAGAAAGAAAGGCATATTGGTTCTACTTTTTTTTTTTCATTAACAATGGCATGATTGCTATCCCTCCAGGATAATGTAACAGCGCCTTCGCAGAATGCAGGAACTCGCGGGGAGAATGGGGTCATAGGTTCTGAGGATATGGAGGTGTATATATTATCGATGTTTCGTGAACTGCAATGGCTTCGCGCTGAGCGCAGCTGTCTCTGTACGAAAATAGAATTACTATTATTACGTAGAAATAGAATAGTCATAATCTCTTCCTCACTTTCTCGGGTTTTCCTTGCATTTATCTTCGCTGTTTGCTTTTGGTTCCCTTTCCCTGACCCGTCGTGCTTAGCGTCGTAGTTAGGCTTGCGTTGTTACAGTTTTGCAAGTTTGACCTGTCTATCTGTGCGTCTGCCTCTCGATCCGTGTGGGGGTCTTGTAGTTTGTGACTTGTAACTTGTCGTATACAATGGGAAACAGGCTTCACTAGTCTGAAAGGGCCTATGGTGCGCTTAGTGATAGCTGCGTATGCCACTGTTTTTAGCCTAGACGTTCCGCCATGCCCTCACCAAGCGCACCATAATCATTGAGACTTCATTCGGTCGATTGTGATATTTCGACACTTGCTAATTTACTACTGCTGTTAAGCTTCAACGGCTCCTTGCCTTTTGTACACGTGTCATATCTCAATTGTCGTTTGCCGGTTCTTGGTCTAACAATAAATGAATGCTCAGTGGCAGGGCAACGATGAGAGCAGACGTCGAATTTGTTGCTAGCAGTCGCCGTCTAAAGGGGCAGGTTACAAAAATAGCAGCGACAGCAGCGTAGTATAAACCTTTTCGTATACAAATACCCTCTTAGAACAATCCGAAAGTGGGGCAAACCGGAGCAGCTCGCTGTGTTAATGACGCTGAATGGGATGGAAGCTACAGCGGTTTAGCTTGTCCGTGGCCGCCGCCGCCGCCGCCACCGCAGGCGATCCTATTCCTGTTACCTGTGTAGTTCATATTTCCCATCTTAGCAAGCGAAGCTTCTTCACTGCCGCACCTCCATCGTTTGAGCTCGAAAGCTTAGGCCACCTTCCACATTGTAGCACAATCCCGTTTTCATAATCTGATTTTCTCTTCTTTTTTGATATTACAATTGCTATTAAAATCATGTAAGCTTGCGTCCGAAACCATCAGAGTTAAGTGTCACATCGGACGATTGGTGACCAATGCTAATAACAACTCGGTGTCTAGCAACATGTGCCGTTTAGGTTCGTAAGCAGATATGTCACCATGAAACCATCGTTTCCATTGTTGGAATAGCCTCGATGTGACGTTACCTACTCCCTAGGCTCTGTTCAGGGTTATCTGAAAAACACTAGATAC